GACAGTGCAGGAGGGGAAGGCCCTCTATGAAGTGGATTGATTCAGTGACTGGGATAATCGGGATGGGTGTGTCGGAGACAGTGCGACTGGCACAGGACAGAGCAGAGTTTAGGGCTGCTGTACATAGGGTCGCTATGAGTTGCAAGCGACTCGATGGCACATGACAACAACAACAATCATAGTAATAATCACAGTTTGCCAGTTATTGGTTTTTGTTGCCCTAGTCACTCCTCATAGTTCCTGGTGGATGAGGACCCCTAATGTTTCCTTATAGATGAAAGGATGTAAGTGTTCCTGGGTGGTGCAAATGGTTAAGTGTTGGATTACTAACCTAAAGGTTGGATGTTCAAATACACTCAGAAGTATTTCAGAAGTAAGACCTGTAATCTGCTCCAAAAGGGCCTCAGTCTTAAAAACGTTATGGGGTAATTCTACTCTGTCCACATTGAGTTGCCATGTGCTTTAATGACCTCTACAGCAACTACCAACAATTCCTTGGAAGCTAGTAGAAACAAAACAATCAAACAAACAAAAAGTTTGTTTCTATTTCTAAGTATTTAACCTAGAGATTACACAAAGATATGAAAACTTAATGTTCATACAAACACAGTAAGTATACACAAATGTTTATAGCAGTGTTATTTATAATTGCCCCAAATCTGAAAATAACTCAGATGTCTTTCAGTCTATGAATGAATAAACAAAGTGTACCACATCCATATAATAGAATGCCATTCTGTCATAAAAAAGAATGAACTATGTTGTTGGGTTTTTTTTTTGTGTGTGTGTTTTTTTTTGTAGCAACATGCTTTACATGTAACTACAATTTACCAAGATAAAGAAAACTAAAATACCACACACTGTCAATCAGTTCATATGACATTCTTAGAGAGGTAAATATGCAGATACTAGGGGTGGGAGGGCAGTTAACAGCATAAGGGCTGATTGACAAGGGGAATTTTGTAGGCAGTAGAAGTTTTTGTATCTTAACTGTGATGGTCGATACTTTGCGTTTGTCAAAAGTCACAGTAGTAAATGCCACAGAGAATGAATCTTACTTATATAAATTAATTTAAAAAATCAATCAGGATATGGAAGGGGATCAAAATGAAGTACAAATGCACAAATGAACTTGTTTATATTTCAAACTGTGTAACTCATTTGCACAGAAGAGAGTGAAGGAAAAGACAACTAACTTATTTTGAAAAACAGTATTTGAGATGAATGCCTATAGTGCCAAAGAGTGAAGTATTTTTTAAAAACTAATATAACGTGAATGCAAACTGCCTGGAACACTGCAGGCATTCAAAAAGGGTATATTCCTGTCTCTCTTTATTGCCGTTATACAATAATTCACAATGATTTTAAATCATAAGAAAATGCTAAACTTAAGTTTGTATGTTTTGTTTGGAAACATATTATTACATACAGAAAAAATATTTTTGCCAACTCTGATAAAAAAATAAAATAATAGGTCTTGTCAAAGAAGTATCAAGAGCAAAGCTTACTTAAGGGTTCCCAGTAGCCACAGATGAAATTATTCAAACAAACAAAACTAAAATCACTTTATATTCTCTCCAATAGAATAAAATAAACATGAACATGTCCAAACTGATTTAAATAAGTGAAACAAATAAATAGTGGATAAACAAGAATTCCAATTACCAAATGCACAAGGATGTGTATATAAGTTATATATTTTAGAAAATAATACCAAAAACCCCCAAACAGTAGACAAAAAGAAATGTAAGTGAAAAAGGAATAAAGGAAATAGAAAATTAGCATGAGGCAATTACCACAGAAATGACGGTTGCAAGCAAGATTCATTGTTGGTGTGGAATATGGGGGAGAAAGTCAGAGATGTAACAGGATATTTCCATGGTCTCAAAGTATCTCTCTCAAGTTATTTTTTAATAACAAGAGGGGATATAGTAACTTTACAGTAAAGAAACTTGGAAAACACTGATTTAGGTTGAGTTATTACTGTCATGTACCATATGACATGATATGCCTAGAAAAACTTATCAGCTCTGTGCTTTTCTTGCTAAAACCACAAATTGTCCTCTAGTTAAAAGAAAATATCATATAAATTCTAAATGAAAGATTTTATATAAAATAAATGGTGTAGGTATTCTTGAAATCTGTTAAGATCATAAAAAAAAATAGTGAAATGATTACAAATAGAGGATACTTAGTGGACATGATAGCTATGTGTGACATTGTATTTGATCCCAGGGCAGAAAATTAACCTTAGCAGAAAAACTGGTGAAATCACTTGTTATTGTTGTGTTTCAAAGAGGCAGAACCAACCCATAACTGACCCTCTAGTGAGTTTTCTAAGGCAGGTATTGCACTGGAGAAGACTGTCCATCCTTCTCCTGCAGAGCAGCTGGTGGATTCAAACTGCCTGCCTTCTGGTTTGCAGTGCAGTTTCTTACCAATAGGCCACCAGAGCATGTAACTTAGTTGATCCGATTGTAACAGCAATAATTTCTTAGTTTTGGTAATAATACTACAGAGAAGTTGAGTGATGGATATCTGAGAACTGTCTGTATTGTTTTTGTAAGTTTTCTATGAGTCTAAATTGTTGTTGTTGATTGCCTTTAAGTTGAGCACGACTCATAGCGACCCTATGAACAAAAGGCCTGAAGTCCCTCTACAACTATTGATACTTATCAATGTTCATAGAGTTTCTGGAAGCATAACTTCCAAGAAAACAAATCGGTCTGTCTTGGAGAGGGTGAAACCAAGTCTCTCCTTAGAGGCTAGGATTTTGAAGCTCTGCCTCACTTACTTTGAGCACATGGCCAGAAGAGACAGGTCCTTGGAGAAGGACGTCATGCTCAGAAGGGTAGATGGACAGCACTGGAGAGGAGGACCCTGGATAAGATGTATTGATACTGTAACTGAGGTGATGGCGATGGTGTGTCAGAATTAGTGAGACTGGTGCAGGACAGGGAAGGGTTCAGAGCTGCTGTACGTAGGGTCACTATACTTCACAGGTGACTCAATGGCACATAACAACAATAACATACTATATCAGGTTTGGTTTGGAGCCTAAATTAATAGATTATGAAAAATGTTTGTTTAATTGCCAATTCAGAGGAGAAATTGCTCGGAATGCCACTAGGGAAGCCAGAGAATGACTAGTTCAGAATCAATGAATAATAGTGTCCATGTCAACAACCTCCTTACCGTAAGGAACAGGTTCCTCAATTTGGGTCAACTACATGAAATTGAAATAATGATATATCCAAATAAAGACCTATTTAAATGGATTCATGAAGCAAGGGACAAAATTTGAAGTTTTAGGACAAAAACGGGAAAATTTAGAGCATAGTGCTATGCATATTAGTCTCTTATATTTCTTTTTTAAAAAAATATTATTATTTAAGATAGAAAACTTTTATTACTAAAATAATGGAATCATCAATGAACAGTTCTTTATACTTCGGAAATCCTATATTATTCTGACTGGGCTGTGGAGATGGGTTTTTTGGGTGGAGATGTTTAAATGTTGTGTTTGTGCGGTTTTAAAAAAAATGTTTCACACATTTCTTCATTCACATTGTGTTTCACATAATCATTCCTATACACTGTGTTTTATAAAATTAATCACCATTGACCTGTATCCCCCATTAATCTGTCTTTTCAGGTCCCCACCGGATCTTCCCTAATTCTTTCACCCCCTCCCTCCACCTACTAAACTCTGTGATCCCATGATCTCCTCCCTCTTCATCTGCTCCCTCTCTTTCTCTTATTTTTGAAGGAGTAAAAGATGTCTCAAATAGAAAAGGGTAAAAAAAACCCTCAACTCACACTGCTATAGAGATTCTTCAGATTCTTGGTTCTGTCATAATCCACTGTTTCCAGGACGGTTGTGTATTTGTCTTTAATCTGATGATAATTTTCTTTATATTTCACCTATATATGTAAAAAAAGAGAGCAGTTATTCATTGTTCTTATTTGAAGCAGGGTTTTGAACTGGTCTGAACTAGTTCAGTCAAGGTCAACCAAGAGAAACTAAACAAAAACAAACCTCCAAACAACACGACAAAAAGAAACTCAATAGACTTGAATTTTAAAAAATTTGAGGAATCTGGGACACTGTGCAGAACAGGACAAATTACAGATCAAAGGCCAGGAATGGGAGACTTGGCTGGGGCATAGTGAGCCCTTCCCCTGACTTGTGACTCTGGATTATTGCCAGGGCCCTAAAGAGTCATACTCATTCAAAGCAATGTGGTCACTTGACATCTTTGTGCTGTTCTGTGTCCAGTCAAGAGATTTGCTTACTCTGCAACACATATCCTGTTCATGTTTTTAAGGGAGAGAGGAAGTTTCTAGCAGGAGTTTGAATACATTTTCCTCTTCCAGTCATCATCCAGGTTCACTCATACTTTGAAAACCATGCCTATTCCAAAGTCTTCTCCACTGCCCTAACAGAACCAGGCTGAACTGGCTTAAAGCGCTAGTTTGAAAATAAGTAAAGACAAGCTATGGTTTGTACCTGGAAGAGAAGTTGAAGAAAAACTCACCTCACTGGCATTAATTCCACTTTGAAGAGCAGTCACATAAACTGGTGTATCTGTGACCATATTATAATTTTTTAGGTTTTCTTTACCTGCTGCCGTGTATTGTATCTGCAAAGAGAACAATAATCACAAATGGAAAAATACTGGTCTGTCACCAACTGCAACAGTTTTTGCTAACTTGTGGCTTTCACTTATTTCTGGGTTTCTGATTTAATCCTGAAAAAAAGAAAAGGACTGTAATTCTACAGTCTTGCAGACTTTATTGTTGTTGATTGCTGTCGAGTTGAGTACAACTCAGCGATCCTATGAACAAAAGACTTGAAGCCTTTTTATGACTATTATCATTTCTCAAAGTTCATTGAGTTTCCAGAGGCATGTTGTTTAGGAAGTGGATGCAAACTTTACATGGCTGCCAAAATAAACAGTTTCTCTTACCCCAGTGTAGGATTTGGGTCTTTATCCAGTCTATTTCCTCACTTTGTTGCCATTGACATGCCAATTTTCATCTTTGACATTGTTACTTTTGATTTTTCATCATACCTGTACTGTCAGAGCTGAACCACATTCTGTAAATTTTCTAGATAACAAATTTGTCTTAAAATTTTATTTATGCATTTGATCGTACTGTTTGCAAGTTAGCTGGAACCATTAAGGTATAGATATTTGAGAGTAATTCACTGTGGCATACTTTCCTAATAACGTTCTGTTAAAACATCAGTGTCTTAAGATACAAGAGAGAAGGCCTAACACCAGAAAAGACCAACAAAAAGAGGTTTTCTAGGGCAAAGACTTTGGGCTCACTTGATAATGCACTGTTAAAGCAGTTTTCTTTGCTTACATATAAGAGATAGTGTAGTTATCAGCCCACCGGATGCAACACGGATTCCAAAGACCTATAAAGAGTCAGTCCTTCCAGGAAGATCGGCTCACCTGACTCTGGAGGTCATACGATTTCTTGGCATGCAGGATTTGAGGTGTATCCCAAACGTAGCATCCAATGCCTTTCAGCCAATTCAAGTCCTCTTTGTATACATTCTGTAAGATAGAGTGAACAGTAAATGTGGTAGGTACCAACTACATTTACAACTGAGGGTTTTATTAATTTCTTATTGATTCTTGGTGGTGCTTAATGCTTAACGGTCATTAGGTAGATCTCTCAGCAGCTGAAATATCTTTAGTGCTCTGGTTTAGGATGAAAGCAATACCTAAGTCTTATTGTTGTTAGGTGCCATCATGTTGACTATGGCTCATAGCAACCGTATGAACAACAGATCTGCACCTTGCCCTGTCCTGCACCATTCTCTGATATACTTGAGTCCATTGTTACAGTCCTTATTCTCTTCCTCAGACCCTCCACCTTTCCCACCATGATCTATTTTTCCAAGGACTAGCCCTTCATCACAATATGCTCAAAGTACGTGAAACAGAGTTTCACCATCTTTGCCACTAGGGGGCACCTAAGTCTTAGTTTTGTATTAGATTAGATAGTTAACATAGACGTCCTAAGCCTAGAGGCCTTATACCAAAGAGTTGTTATTTGTGGTATTTTGTATTAAATAAGTGTGTGTGAATATAAGGTAATAGGAATATACAGATACAGGGCAGGAAGTACATACATCACTCAGGATCTCCTGGGCATTTCGGGCAAGTATAATTTTGGGTTCCTCTGGAAGAGAAGTCCACTGGTGGAAGTAGTGCCGATACTCCAGGTCACTGAGGATGTACTGGCACTTTTTAGCCAGTACGTGGTTCATCATGTCATTGGGGATATGAACATTTGCTTTGGTGTCCTCATAATGCCTTCGGTAGTTCAACTAAAAAAAAAAAATACAAAGGGAATTAAAATGTAAATTATTTAAATCAACCTCCTTTATAGTTTCATTTCTAATAGAGAGTAGAAGCTTCAGAACAGATTATGATCCTTTAAAATGATAGTTTATTAGGGTTTTTCCTAGTATTTTATTTCCCCACCAGTTTATAACACATAGCAAATAATGACCTTTCCAAATACGGAGCCTTTACTATGTGTTCAGCAGTGGGAAAAGGAAGAAAACAGAAGACGAATAGAACCATCGAGAAGTACGTAAGGCTAGCTAGCAGGAATGGGGGAATCTTTAAGAAGAATTCATTCCTTCCCACCTTCTCCCCTAAATTAATCTTGACTGATAGGGCAGGTAATTAAGTAGGCATACACACTGGTAACTTTAAGTGTTTTCACAAATGGTGAACATTTTGCTTACCGCACTCCTCATTTTTTGGAAATCCAGACTGTGAACCACAGCAGGGAACTCGCTGATTTCTTTCCCAGCTAGGTAGTGGCCCTTCTGCTTTTCATATGTCTCTTTGTATTTAAGCTGTGAAATAGGAACAAAATCAAGAATTATTAGGTTTTCCAACCAGTGCTTTCCACCACCAAAGATCCATAAATCCAACCAGGTACTAGTAAAATAATAGACATATAGATGAACAGGACAGAATCGGGACTCCAGAAACAAGTCATCTGGCAATGGACAGCTGCTCTCCAATAAAGGGCTGATGTCCATTAAATGTCAAAGAGCTAACCTCTTTTACAAATGCTGTTGTTGTGTGCTGAGTCAGAAAACTTACCCATAGCTGACCCTCCGGTGGGTTTTCATAGGCAGCAAATGACAAGAGAGGAAACTGCCCATCCTTCTCCTGAGGATTAGCTGGTGGATTTGAACCATAAACCTTTGGGATTGTAAGTGCAGCTTCTTGCCACTAGGCCATTAGAGCTCCCTCTTTTATAAATGGTACAGGTAAAATTTGAGAACCATTTGTAGAAAAAGGAAATAGAATTCATATTTCAAAACATACACCAAAGCTAACTAAAAATGTTTCAAAAACTTAAATCTAAACCTTAAAATTAAAACACTAAAACCCCCTAAAGAAAGGGAAAAAAATTGGGATATAGTTTAGGGCCTTAAGCTATAGAATAAATAGACTATCAAACATATGTAAATATGTATGAATAGCAGAAGTAAAAGAAGAACCACTTAAAAAGAAAACATTCATGCACATCAAAAGACATCATTAAAAAGAAAAAGAGAAAAAAGAGAACCTACAGACTGGGAAGAAAAAACTTTAGGCAACATCTTCTGACAAAGGTCTAAACTCTGAAATTTTTAGGAAACTCCAGCCCTCAACAACTAAAGAACACACAGTCCAATTTAAAAATGGGCAAAGAATATGAGTAGAGACTTCATGAAAGAAAACATTTACTTGGCTAAATATATAAAGAGATGCTCTTGATTACCAGTCATTATAAAAGTGCAAATAAAAACTACAAAATTATAACAATACTGATAAAAATAAAATCAGGAAACAACAAATACTAGCCAGGTTGGGGGGGAGGACATTGGAATTCTCATACATTGCTGGTGGGATTGAAAAATTATTCAACCACAGTGGAAAATGCTATGATATTTCCATAAAAATCTAGAAATGAAATACCGCATCACGCAGTAATCCCAGCTCCTGGGAGAAATAAGAGTTATGACATGAATAGACACAGGTATATGCATATTCATAATAGAAAAAAATGGGAACAACCTAAATGCCAATTAATGAATGAATGGGTAAATAAATTGTAGTACATGTATACAATGGCATACAATGCAACAGTAAAGAATAAGCATGAATCTATGAAATATCTCACAATCTGGATAAATCTAGAGGATCCTAAACAAGTCAACCACAAAAGGAAAATACTGTAGGACATTACTAGTATAAAAATTCAAGAATAAGTTTATGCCCAGAAAGACGTATTATTTGATAGTTATTAAGGCTAGGGAAGTAGAGGGCGGGAGAATGTCTAACTAGATGGTAGACATGTGCTAATTCTGTGAAGATAAAAATAACACACAAGATGCAGAAGTCACCACCACATGACCAAGGTCAAGGAAGAGACTGAGCAGTATGTAAGAATAAAGGGCAACTAATCCTTTAACAGTAATAACAATAATTTGTAAGTAGGTATATTAGTATGCTAGATAGGTATATGAGAGTTTGTATGAGGTGAGACTATGCCCTTGTACATAACAGGTATGTTGTTGTTGTGTACCGTTGATTCGAAACCGACTCGTAGCTGACCCTCCGTTGGCTTTTAAGAGGCTCGTAATTGCATTGGAGTAGATTGCCCATTCTTCTCCAGCAGCTCAGGATTGCAATGCAACTTCTTTCCCATAGGCTACCAAAGCTCCCTATAAATAGCTATGGTTATGGATTCTTCTACATACATATCTATATGTTATATATATGATATATTAATATGTCTATAACGACATGATATATTAATATATCTATAGATTAATTAGGGAGTTATGGTGGCCTAATGGTAAAGAATTGTGCTATAATCCTGAAGGCATGCAGCTCTGCAGGAGAAGGCTGGGCAATCTCCTCTTACGTGATTAAATTACCTCTAAAAACCCACTGGAGGATCAGCTATGGATGGTTCCAATTCAACAGTGCACAACAATAAAAATATTTTAATTAGAGCAAATAGAGGCACAACTATGGGAACTTATTAGCTATAATTAAATACCTTTAAACATTTTGAGAGACTGAGCTACTGGGTAAGGACAATAGTCTCAGAGTATATCTAGATGAATTAAGAGAACTCAGTATACCAAGCCGAAGAGGTTGCTGTGATGCTGAAGACTGTGACAGTGATGTGCCAATCGTGGTAATGGGTACCCATGGTGGACAGTGTTGGCTGGAGCTTCCCAACTAAATCAAGCCTGGAAGCAGGAGCAGCATCCACTTCCAAAATGGCTTGCCTCTGGAAACTCTATGTATGAACAGTGCTCGGGCTGTTCGTTCATAGGGTCACTGTGAGTCATCTACGACTTGGTGGCATCAAACAACAAGTATACAAAGACAATGTTCTACATCCTAGTTTGCTTAACAGCAAACTAGTATCTTGGATCATAAAAGTAGTAAATGACCATCTAAGATACAAATATTCATCTGTTTTTGCACAGAGCAAAGGAGAAATGAGCACAAAGACTGTAGGAAGCAAATACTTGACAGGACTAATGAATGGCCCACATGAACCACAGCCTCCTCTAGTTTGAGACCAGAAGTGGTGTTAAGCTAATACTACCAACTGTTTTGATCAAAGAAACAGCAGAAGATCCCATTTAGAATGGGAGAAAATGTAGAACAAAACTCATTTATAAAAGAGACCTGAATTATTGGTCTTATGGAGACTGGAGGAACCCCTGAGATTATTTCTCTAAATCATTCTTCTAACAAGGAACTGAAGACACTACTGGAGATCAACACTCCAAATAATAGATTGGTCCTCAGAATAAATAAGACTCATGAGGAATGCACTCTTTAGAACAATGAAATAATGCAACCAAAAGGGCAACCTCAACCTACAACAAAGATAAGAAGGCAGGAGGAGAAAGGGATGCCAGAGAAATGCAAGTGGGGAAATCAAGGTAATGGTTATAGACTTGTGGACATTGTAACTAACGTCATGGAACAATGTGTGTGAATTATTGAGTGAAAAACTAATTTGCTGTGAAACTTTCAGCTCAAGTATAAGACACTATTTTTTTTAAAAAAACTAACATAATAAGACATTATGAGAAATCCAACTAACAAACTGATAGAGGAAATGCATTAGGGAATAAAGGCGAGAAGGAAGGGGAGAAATCTGTAGAAATGAGTGAATGAAAAGCCAGTTTCTTCATAAACTTCCAATTGAATCACACTCAGAAACATTTTCAAAATAACATTAAAAATCACCCACCGAGCCCTCAAACCCATGAGAAGAAAAATATCATACTGACCTCACTGTTTACATAGTCAGCATGCTTGGCTCCAACAATAGGAATATAACGCTCATCCAAAGTGTAGCCATAGGCCTTAGTTCCCTCCCATGCTCCTTTGTACAGTATCTAGAACAAAGAAATGTGCAACAACAGAACTTATGTCCACCTTCTTCCAGGTACCACTGAAAAAACTGGTGAAATATTTGTGTTTAAGAAAAGGCATGTTTTTTATATACATCTGTCTAGACAGATTTCTACATGTCTTAGTCATCTGTCTAATAAGAGAGCAGAGTGCTTTGAAATGTCATCTATAGACTCTCAGTGATGGTACATCTTAAATGTATTTACAATTCTGGAAAAGTAACAGCAACTTGTACCCAGGGAGAGAATCACCAAAAACCATGTTCCGCAGAGTGTGGATCGACAATCAAATGCACACCCATCCTTGTTAAGATAGCTAGATTAAGTTTTGGAGGACAAGTCCTCTGTTGGCTGGATATGTTTCTACATAGTTCCTAAGAAGGTTCAGCCTTTGTTCCCTTATCCCTGTTGGTAGTTGCTCAGTTGCTGACTTCTTTCAGCACTTCTTACATCATGATCTATTTACATGCATATCTGGTTCTTTCATGGGACTATAAGCTCTTCAAGAGTGTATGTCATTGAGTTTTAGCTCCTCGGAGCCTTAAACAATGTCTAGCATATCACTGGAAATAAAAAATTACCAGCTGATGATATGCTCCTTACCCTGAATAATGTGCTACTGCAAATGAAAAATTAAATACAATAAAGATATTTTTATAAGTTCAATTATTCATAAAATCAGCCATTAATATGAATATTAAGCTTAAAACTAAAACCCAGTCTGTATATACATCACATAAAACTCACAGTGCTGTAGAGTTTCCCCATGTCTTTGGAGTGGGTGATATGTGGTGTGTCTGGAGAAAATATATATTTGCCCTTGGCTTTGTTGAATGTTTCTTTATATTTCACCTAAGGGGAGAAAAAGAAACAGAAAAAAGCCATTTGATTATAATAAAGGTAAGTTCCTACAACCTATCTGATAACATAATAATTAACCTACAGTGATGCTTAGCCAAAAAGCTCAGAAGTTCTCAGTCTGTTTTTAGAAGTAAAACGAATCAGCTATCTGAATGAACATCAGTTCATCTTAGCTAACAGAATAATTTGGACAAGAATATAAATGTTATTCTAAAGAAGAAATAGCAAACCACTTCCAGTGACTTTTAAGATACTTTATCTTCAAAACATTATCTTAAAACTTAGAGCCAATTTTTTTAATAAAAAAATTACTAAAAATTAATCAAGTCCATTCAAGGATTGATAACTCTCCAATCTATGTGCTTCCTCATTTGCAAAATAAACTTACATCACTTTGATTGACTGCATTAATCTTGGCCAAAACAATCTCTGGAGGATCTACCACACTTGTAAAATTAGGATAATTGTTAAGAGCATCTTTCTTGTATTTTATCTGCAAAGAAATAGAGAAGATTACAAAATGTTCATCACCTCAGGATACCTTCCTCTACATGCAGGCAAAAGGAAAGTATTAAATAAAAAAGGGGATGACTTTGTATACCTGATTCACCATCTCCTGGTTCTTAGTAACCCTCACATGGTCCACAGAATCCAGTGGGATCCAACCAATGCCTCGAAGCCACTCCAGATCAGCTTTGTAGACATTCTGCAAGTGGGAAGACAGATATGATGCATGTTTAAAGGACACAGACATAAGACAACAAAGAGATGACTTAAAAAATGTTCTGGAAGCATTTTAAGGATTTCTATAGTGACTATTTTCTCATTCTTTCTATTATGTTTTCTTTTGTTTATCTGAGTGTTATTTCTTAAACATGTTATGATTAAAGTACTGAAGTAGGTTCTCTGAAGAATAAGCATAAATAAGGAAAAAGTAGGAGTAAAGAGATGTCCCTGGGTGGTGCAAACAGTTGATAAGCTCGACTATTAATCAAAAGTTGCAGGTCTGAGAAACGTCTGGCAACCTACTTCCCAAAACAACCAGCCACTGAAAACCCTTGGGAGCCTTTCTGACACACTGGTCTCCATGAGTCAGAATTGACTGCATGGAAACTTGTTTTCTGTAGGTTTGGGGTTTTTTAAGGAGTAAAGAGAAATAATTTACAAAGTAAAAAGTGGTACAGATCATGGACAAGACCATCCAAGCACTATGGGAGTCATGAAAGGAGCTACTATTTCCTACTGTAGCACGAGAACAGACTTTTACAAGGAGATTGTGTTTTTAGATGGATTTGAAACTTTTGGATTTGTGGAAGTATGTGGGATATTTAAGCTAAAAAGAAATTGCACAGGCTAGTAGTAGTCATATTGTAGAAAAGGGGAGGAGGTGTCATCTCAGGCCAAGGATACCTCTGTCTTCTCCCTTCCTGCTTCTAGCCACCCTACACCAGATGAAGTACTTGATGAATACCATCAAGTCGGAAACCACTCATAGCTGCTCTCCAGTGGGTTTTTTCCCAGTGGGTTTTCAGAGGCAGCTAATCATACAGGAGGAGACTGCCCACTTTCTCCTGCAGAGCAGCTGGCGGATTCAAACTGTGTGCCTTTGGGCTGGCAGTGCAATTCTTTATGGCTAGGTGACCAGAGCTTGATACCAGATGAAAAGGAGGGGTGAATTTGATTAATGTTCCACATTAATGCCTATTAAGTCATTATGCTATAGCAACTAATGAGGCAGGATGCTCAATTTCAGGACCTATTGAGATTGTTGACAGCTTCAGTTTGCTTGGCTCAACACTCTTGGTACCTGCAGTTAGGAAATTAAAAGTTGAATTGCATTGGGAAAGTCTCTCCAAGGTACTGAGGAGCAAAAATCTCTGTCTGGAGAGTAAGGTGCACCTGATACAGGCCATGGTCTTTGCAATTACTTGCATGCATTAGAGAGCTGGACAATGACTAGGGATAATAGAAAGGGAGAAGATGTTAAATATACCATGGACTGCCAAGAGAACAAACAAGTTTGTCCTGGGTTAATTCAGGCTGCTCCTTGGAAGCAAGGATTCTGAAACTGCATCTGACATACTTTGGGCATGTTCTAAGGAGGGGCCAGTCCTTGGAGAGGGACAGCATGCTTGGGAGGGTGGAGGGACAGTACAGGAGAAGACCCTCGAAGAGATGGATTGATTCAGTCACTGGGGTAATGGGGATAGGTGTGTTGGATTCAAAGAGTTTGGCAAGGGATAAAGCAGGGTTTAGGGCTGTTGTACATAGGGTCACTGTGAGTTGCAAGTGACTCAATGGCACATAACAACAACAACAACAACAACAACAACAACAACAACAACAACAACAATATTATAGGTACTGTCTCTGACTTCTGTTTCACTCTTAGTTCTAATGAGAAACCCCAGGTAGGGTAGTTTGCCTGTGCCTGACCAGTCAAGTCTTCACCATACATCTGTTCCCCACAGATGACCCAGTGCCAGAGGTCTTGATTCAACCTAAATGGTAGGTAGCCTAAGTAACATTTCCTATCCCAGCTTTACTAAAATTCTGTGTGAGTTTATACTGGCTCCTCAGGCATCTAATCAGTACTTGGTTTCCCTTTTGGTTTGATCACTTGCAAATATCTCCATAAATGTTTTAAGGAATAAATAACTTGGCAAAGCAAGATCAGGGCATTTCTAGCCCTCTGCCTATGCTGTCATTTAATATTGTAAACTACCCTCCCTCCCAAAAAAAGCCTAGTGGATAGTGCACAAGGTGAAGCAAAGGGCAAAGTACAGTAAAGATTTAATGAGATGCTGTAATAAATATGAATAAGTGAGAACCAATAAAAAATTAAACCATCAAACTGGATCCCAATTTCCACCCATGCTTATTTTAATTTTAAATCAACTAATGGAAAGGAAGACTCTCAAGCAGGTGGACTGACACAGTGACTGCCTCAATGGGCTCTAGTGTGTCAGAAAGTGTGAGAATGGAACAGGATAAAAATGGAGTTCTGATCTGTTGTTCATAGGGTTGAGTCACATTCAACTTGACGGCACTTAACAAAACAACAATTACTTTCTATGTACATGTGAGTCAAGAGCTGTTAGTGACAGAGGTATACAAAAGCATTTTTTAAAAACTTTGCTTTGGTTTTGAATGTTATTCAGAAATGCACACTCAGTAAACTAAGTTTTAATAAATCATTGCCCTGATCTTTGTCTATCAGCCTCAATTTCTTTCCACGGTGTAAGGGGGGGGGGAAATACGTATTTCTCCAGCTTTTTCGAAGATGGCACCGAAAGCGAAGAAGGAAGCCCCTGCCTCTTCCAAAATTGAAGCCAAAGCAAAGGCATTAAACGCCAAGAAGGTAGTCCTGAAGGGCGTCCACAGCCAAAAAAAAAAAAACCAAAAAAAAAAACACAAAGAAGATCTGGTCACCCACCTTCCGGCAGCCTAAGACACTGAGACTCTGAAGGCAGCCTAAATACCAACAGAAGAGCACCCCCAGGAGAAGCAAGCTTGACCCCTATGCCATCATCAAATTTCCCCTGACCACTGAGTCAGCTATGAAGAAGATAGAAGATAACAACACACTTGTGTTCATTGTGGATGTCAAAGCCAACAAGCACCAAATTAAACAAGCTGTAAAGAAGCTCTATGACACTGATGTGGCCAAGGTCAACACTTTGATTAGGCCTGATGGAGAGAAGAAGGCATATGTTCTACTTGCTCCTGATTATGATGCTTTGGATGTTGCCAACAAAATTGGGATCATCTAAACTGAGTCCAGCGGACTAATTCTAAATATAAATTTTTCTCACCGTAAAAAAATATTTCTCCAAGCTTCAAAGGCAGCTCTGGAATATTGCATTTATTTCCAGGGTATAACATATACTTCCAAACAATTAAGAAGTAAAGATCACTTACATCACTCTGCAGGTCATAGGCCTTCCTTGCCTGAATGACATCATTTTGGTCAGGATGGCATGTCCATTGGTGCAGGTAATTACGGTAATCAATGTCACTGACAAGGTTCTGCCCCTGCTTGGCAGCCAAGACAGAGACCATGTCTGCAGGAATATTGATTTTGGACTTTGTTTTGTGATAGTCCACTTTGTAGAGTCTGTCATTCTGAATCTGGCCAGCATGCTCAAACCAAACCAGCTTCGGATCATCTCTCATGGTCGGAACACCAACATAATGGCCCTTTTGCTTTACGTGTTCAGCTTTGTACTTCAGCTAGAGGGAGAGAAGAACACAGGTTCTGTCAGCTTTGACCAAAACACAGGACCAGAGGAAGCTTGGCCCTCCCCTAGGGGACATCAGCAAATACACCTCCCAGCCTTTTGTGTGACACCTCTGAGAATAAAGGGGACAGTTGCTGATAGAAATAAATAAATATTTAAAAACCAACTAAAAATATAGAAAAACTCTTACTTATGTTTTAACTTTATTTTCATGGTAGGCCTAGAGATTTCAAGGAGGCCAGAGAATATAGGATAATGTAAAGAACTTTGACATTTTGTAAGTAGTAGCTTTTAACATATTCAAGAAAAAAGGAAGAAAAGTTAAAGCCCATTGGGAAGGGGTCAAAAGGGGAACAGGTTTGTCAGTTATCACCAAGCCAACTCAGCATTTCAAACTGTATAGGACCTCTGCAGGATTCCACCTTTCAGGCAAAGCTATGGGTCCTGTCAGGCAAGGTTCACCTTTGCTAAGTACCCTGCCACAGGGGTGAATTACCTCACTCTGAACATCGCTGGAGTGATGGGCATGGACAAAAGGCACAGCGTCGGGAGGCAAAATATAACCTGTGGCTTTTTGTTTCTCCCAGCCTTCCTTGTACAGGTACTGAAAGACAGAACAAGACCAAAGGTTACAAAGGCGAATCAGGACTGAAGGTTAAATCATCTGCTTAAATCTCAGAAAGAGTTGCCTGCATTTCTGTCTCTACTCCAAACACCAGGGGTCTGGGTAAACTCATACCTGGTCCAGTATGCGGGCTGCCTCCTGGGCAGTGTGCAGTAGAGGGGTTTCTGTGAGCGTGTACTTCGATTTGCTGTCATTCCAATCTTTCCGATACTTAATCTAAAATTAATAGAGGGTCAGTTACTTAATGTTAAGAAAATATGATATTGTCCAAACATTTGCCAATATCAATAATGTCAATTATTAAAATCTGTATCTCAGACAGATTGCGTGCTGGGTTTCAATAAGTGGAAAAGCTTTGGAACAGATACCTTGTGTTGGTGTGGTTTTACAATGACAGCCATGCACTTACATCATTGAGGATCTCGCCACTCTGCTTTGCTGTCACGTAATCAACTCTGTCATCCACTGGAGTAAAGTTGAGAGTTTCTATTTTTGTGCGATATTTGCTCTACAGGGATGAGAAAAGAAAAGAAAAAAAAAAGGTTTACGTCAAAGATATGGCCTCTGATCCTGTGTGAGTTGAGAAAGAGACAGTAAATTTCAAGGGTCCTTCTGCACCACTCTACCACCCCATTGAGTCTGTTGTGTTGCAGTGGCTTGCACTTAGCTGTTATTCTAGAAGCTATACCACAGGTATTTTAAATATCTATGGTGGACAGCTTCCAGATGAAAGTAGACTAGGAAGAACGAGCTGGCAATCTATTAGCCAATGAAATCTTTATGGATCATGACAAACGTTGTTCAACTTACTTGCTTAGGATACATTATCAGGAGGAATCAATTGCTAGAGGAAGACATGATGTTTGGCAAATTGGAAGGAAATGACGGTGAAGGATTCCCCTGGTGCCGTAGATTGGCAAAATTGTTGGTGACTATAGAATGACTATAGGTGACTGTAGGGACTGGGCAAGGTTTCTTTCTATTGTGTGTAATAAAATTGGCATCACCTGGCAGCTATTTATCCTTACCAGAAGCAGAGAGCGAGCGTGCATTATTTGAATAACCTCTTCATGGCTATTAGAATTTCTTTTCAACATCTTTTTTTGTAAACAAAGGGACTGGCTTCTGTGAATCCCACAGATTTTCAAGTGGCATGTTTGCCTAGCTCCCAGAGTTATACAATGCATAATGTGTACCACTGTACCTATATCACATTTTCTTAACCTGACAAATATCTAAGCACAGTGTTATTGCTGACAAGAGAATTTTGTCATTTATGCAATTTGAAGCATAAGTGAGAGATTCTTGCTGGTACAGTGGTTAAGTGCACTTGACTGCTAACTAAAAGGTTGTCAGTTTGAAGCTAGCAGTTGCTCTAAGTGAGAAAGTTGTTTGGGTCACTTATCCAAAGAGTTACAGTCTGGGAAACCCTGTGGGGCAGGCAGCTCTACTCTGTCTTGCTAAGACTGAATGAGTCAAAATTGACTTGACAGCATTAAGTTTACCTTTCTGTTTTGGTTTAAGCTGGGTCTTATGTTATGGATTTGGTGGCGTATGTAATAGGGGTAGTACAGGATTACTTTGGAAGACAAACTTCATGCTTGGTCTGAATTAAAGTCATTCAAATTGCTGCTATGGGCTTCTGTATTTATGTCAGCCTTTTGGGGAGTGTCTTGAACATGCAGGGTAACATTGGAATACCTCGCTGAAGATATCCGCAGCATGCTTGGCATGATTGACAGAAACGGAATCATTTGGCATCCATCCAATTCCACGTAACCATTCCAAGTCAGACTTGTAAACAGCCTGTGGAAACAAGACCAAGGTAAGAGAAATGTAGCAATTCTAAGCCATATGGTCTTGTCTACCAGACCTATTGATCTGGAAGAGAAATGCAGTTTAAATACTCTATAATTCCAGATGTACTCAAGAAGCCAGACAGGTAACTCAAGTAACTTAATTAGGAGGTCAGGTAGTATGGCAAGCTGGAAAAGGCTTTTTTTTAAGTAAAGAAATATTTTATTTAGAATTAGATATTGCTATGGAGAATGCATTTTGTCCTTAAAAAGAGGGTAGCCCCCACCCCATTTTTTATTGCCAAGATGAAATTCAGGTTGAGAGTCATCTACTCTGACACTTAAAAGAATTGTGAAAGCTAGATTTAAATGTAAAATTTCTCTGATTTAAAAATCTTAACAACTTATTAAAAAATTTAAATATTGTATCAATTGTAAAAGCCCACAATTATGGCTATTTTCTGTCTACAAGTAGACAATATTTGACTCTTGATATAAACCTTGATTGCTACTTAAATTCTACAGGAATATTTTCTCAGTGTTTTTTTTAACCCAATACAATTAAGAACTATGTTCATGTCACTATTTATCTCTTGATACAAAGGATAGGGCCTTCACGGCTTTGATGATTTTGATATCCTCCACAAGTTCTCCCTAATACCACATTCTTGGCTGTGGACAGACCTGACATGATAATACAAGGTTTTAATGCTATAAACTTTCTGAGAGTCACAGCCAACTGGCAGAAGCACATATCATGAAATGCAGTCCACTCACATCACTTTGAAGCTCATAGGCTTTCTTGGCCTGAATCACATCGTTCTGGTCGGGCAGGCATGTCCACTGGTGGAGATAATTACGGTAATCAATGTCACTGACCAGAGTCTGACATTTCTTAGAATGTAAGATGGAAAGCATGTCTACTGGGCTTTGGATCTTGGTCTTCCATTTGGCCCACTGCAGCCGGTACTCTCGTTCATTCTGAAGCTTGTCGGCTATGAGGGCCCAGCGGATCCTGTTGTCATCCCTGGCTGTGAGAGTGCCCACGTAGTGCCCCCTTTGCTTCTCATGGTCAAGCTTGTACTTATACTGAGGATGGGAAAACAAAGCAGATGGGTCACAGTGTGTACTCTTGATACATGCAGGGTATTTGTCTAAAAACTGAGAAGTTAAAAAACGGCACTTACATCACTGGCTATCTCCCGGGAGGCCTTGGCAGCCTGGATGGGGATAGCATCCAGCCGGACATCACAGCTTGCTTTCACCTCATCCCAGCCTTCTCGGTAAATTTTCTAAAGAGAAGAAAAGAACCCAAGATATTGTTACAAATTCAATTTTCTAATAATTCCAAATGCACAACTAGTATTAACAGTTACTAAGCCCCAGAATTTAAAGAAAAGTGTTATTCTCTGTAACCGCTGTGTTGGGATAAGCAATGGTGTCTGGAGTCCTGAGCTTGACAAGAGTTCTTTTTCATTGTAATCATAGCTTGTGGTTGTTCATGGCTTATGGTCTTATGTGTAATGTAGAGGGTGTAGTTGCTTCTGTTTTATTCTAGAAGTACTGGGAATATTAAGGAGCTCTGGGGGCTTAATGGTCAGGAGCTGTACTGCCAATCTAAACACATGTAGTTTGAACCCACCAAATTTGGTGCAGGAGAAAATTAGTATTTAGTGCCATTTACTGCTTCTAAAAACCATCTGGAGTGTCATCGATTAGTCAGTCCCAACCCAACAGCACATCCCAGCAACATCAGATTCTTTCATTTAATGATTTAACCTTTCAGAGTTCACTTCTGTTTTATAATATTTAAAATGAAAAACTTTACATTTGCATTTTCTTCCCAATACAATGTCTGAGATAGTCTTACAGGAATGATGGTATATTTGAGAATGCTAGCTATTCTGCTAACCCACAACTGGATTAAGAGCTACTTTTTCATGATAATGCTCTTTAGTTAAATTAAGTGAGGTAATTAAAAATTAACTGAGGCTATCTTACAGATTACTTTTCAAATATATTTAAATGTAGATTTACATATTTAAACAAATGTATTTTATGTTAATAATGTTAGAAAGACTAGAAAAATTAATTTCTCTATTTTTTATTAATAATAGAAAATTTTATTTTGTTATTTTAATCAAAATTTACAGAAAAGTTTCCTCCCTCTCCCTCCCCTAGTTCACTTTTTAAAAAACTACTCATTCACTGTTGCACAATTTCCTCCCTCCTACCCTCCCTCTTCCCTCCCCAGTCCACTTTGTAATGTATCTCTCTCATACAAGTAATGCCTAATCATACATTCCCTTTTAATCAGTTCTTTCCATCATCTGAGACAGAATTAATTTAATGTATCGGAACCAACTCGTAGCTGAGCCCTCAGAGGGTTTTCAGAGGCAGTACACTGCACCAGAGGAGATTGCCTGTCCTTCTCCTGTGGAGCAGCCGGTGGATTTGAATTACGTGCTTTTGGGATTGCAGCGCAGCTTCTTACCACTATAAGGCCATCAGAGCTCCCTTATAGTGTAGAAAGAGGAGATAGTTTCAACTATTGACAGTGTCAGAGACTTTGGATATTTGAGAAATAAATGCTCATAAATTTTGTTCTTGCAGTCATGGACATATTGTGTATGAATTTTTATCCAGGTTTTGACATGAATATTGGATGAGTTTACTTTAAACATTGACTAGTTTTTTGTACAAAAGAAAAAGTACTGGTCTCATCTATATGTATATCAGCAAATGTTTAGTGAATATTTGTCATATTATCTTTTGGATTTTTACTTATTTTATTGTATATAGTATGACCCTATTTTTCCCAATGGTAAATTTTGCCTATTTACATGGCTCAAATATCTATTTTCTTTCACACAGACATAAAATATATTGATGGCCTTGAGCTCTGATGTTTTATCTACTGCCTTTGAGAATTCATGTAAATTCCTTAAACTTTTAAATCTCAGCTTTTCTGTCTGATAAATACAAATATTTTACTTATATGGTATGAAGATTAAATAATCCAGTCTATTTCAAAATTATTGGTTATTCACAAAATCTTACCCAAATATTCTGCAAAGCAAAGTTTTTTAAAGTGATAGGAGTGCCTTTGAACTGTGAAGTTTATCAGGACTATAGGAATAACTGTACCACATGTTGAGAAAAGATCACATTTTGTTTACTATCAAATGAGTTGGGTTTCTTTTTAAATTTCTTCCAAAGTGCAAGGCATTCTCAATAACTAGAAGCAATACACTGTTCAAATGCTGATCTTGCTTACATGATGATAGTAAATGGTAAAATTTTAGTGTTTTGAGCTAATTTGTCATGGAAAAGGAATCACACAGGATTTTTCAGAACTTTTCTGCCAAAAGTGCTTGTGGACAGAACTGAAGCTGAATCTAGTCACTTGGTATAAACAGTGAATTATATTAAAATTATAATTGTAAAACTATAATTTTTAAAAACTCCTCAATATTTTTGTAGCCTAAAACTTTATTTTCACTGCAAATATCCAAAAGAAAATAGACCCCCAGCAGCTCATTTTAATAGAGTTGATGGAGTCACTTTGCAAAAATTTTGCAAAAAGTTTTGCTTGGCAGGCTCATTCTCTCACAAAGATTTATTGTTTTTCTGCAAAAACTCAAAGTTCCAACTCCAGTGAAGTGCACTAAGGTAATAAGTTTCTTTTTAGGTATAATTATTTTATACTAACAGCTCTCAAAAATCTTTGAAAGTGGTGCCTTTAAATTTTGTCAAACTTTAATTTTGTATCAGCCATCCAATAGCATTTCAATCAATCCTCTTTCTTTTTCAGGGCATGTATTATTTCTTCTGAAAATACTGATAATTTTTCTCTTTCTTTGAAATATTTATCTCTTATTTTTACTTTCATAGAATTACTTCCCAAAAAATACATGACAATGATAACGTTAATGAAAATCTTTGTTTTATTCCTGCTTTTTTTTTTTTTACTGGCACGTTTGCTTACTGAGGATGTAGCTGGCCTTTGATTTGAGACTTCATGGTTAGTCATGTTGATAAATAGATTCCTTTATTCTTAATAAGATTTTATTGAAAAGACAACAAAGGGTGTTGATTTGTTCATATGAATTTTCAAATCTAAAGAGGAGCATATGGAGTTTCCCCCCCTTTTTTATATATTATTCGGTGTTATGGAAACCTTTTGGCATTTATGGATGGATGCCATTTGCTTGTATCAAATAATTTTAATGTATTTATTATCTATATTTAAACACTGTATTTCATTTGATATGACAATAGATTTCTTAAGGGCTTCCCTACTATTACTGGTTTACTTTCATTTGTAGGATGATCTTTGACAATATTTGGTAGTTGGAAAACTCCCTTTCTTTAAGCTCCATCATACTTTATTTATTCTTTGACATTCTGGAAGAACTGTCCTGTGACATCTTCTGAGTGAGTCCACCATTTAAAGGACAGGGGAAATTCTTTAATAACTTGTCCATATTTTCATTTTAAGTTTTCAATTTTTCTTCCTGCAAGCAAATCTTAGTGGTTTCTAATTTCTTAGCTAATCAACCACACATCTAGTTTTTGAAAATAATTTGTACGAGCTTTGCAAAAGAATTTTCACAATTATTTTTTATTACGAATCTAAAGTTACTTCCCATTTCTTGTTTGTGTGTCTTTTCACTTTTTTGACTGTCTCCTTGGTCCTTTCCCTTTACCCTGGGGTCATGTTAACACTGACTCAGTAGGAAATGGCCCTGTCTAGTGACTCAGAGCTCAAGATTCGCTTTCTCCTTCCTCTGGGTCAAAGGCTGATGGCAAGGAGATTTTCCATCCTCAGAACTGGCTATGAAGAGTTTCATGCCTGATCTTATAGCTCCATCTAGATGATTTTCCAAACAGTGAAGGAGTCCATGATTGTACTTACATTGCTTACATTCAGAGCATTTGCTCTCGCGAGATTAATTTCTGGAGTATCTGGCATTATATGGATGGAAGTTTTATCTTTGTCCCAAACTTCTCTGTACTTTGGCTATGAAGAGAAGCAATAATAAGAACAAAATTACGTCACAATTTGCAATTTTGCCATTTTCATCTTTTCTAATTCAAAACAGTCACACACCAAGGCAAATACTTTCAGTGCTTTTTCCATAAAAGTTATGAAAATTTGAAATAAAACTTCTTAATACCTTTTAATAATACTTGGAGCATTTATTTAAAGTTAATAAGCAATCATAAAACAATTTATTCACATTACATAGACAATCTGTTATTATCACCAGCATTATTGTTATCATAGAAGTATACTACCAGGTTAATTATTTATTACCTATTTATGGTCCTAATTTAATTATAATATATAGGGGGAAAAAGAACATACAATGCTAATATTTTCAGCATTTGCTTTAGCGAGGACCACTTCAGGAGTGTCAACGATACTCGTGTACTTGAGTTTCTCCACGGGCGTCCGATAGACACTGTCTCGTAGAATCTCCTGGGCATTTTTGACCCTCAGTACTTCAGGTGACCCTTCAGGCATCCAGCCAATGCCACGTAACCACTCCAGGTCAGCCTTGTAGATAGCCTGGAAAGACAGAGAAAGCTATAGAGAAGCTGTTTTTCATGTTACATTTTATTTTCTATAAATAATAATACAAACCAAGCATTGGCCTGACCAAGATAATGCCTCGTGTGCACCGCAGTGCTTTGTTTTCTAGGGCAAGGAGTCTATGCTGGAGAGCTTGTAGGCATTTGAATGAAGTGGGTGTTTTGAGGGATCATACAAGAATTTTAGTGAGAGTTCTGTAATCATTTTATTAGACCAAGGGGGCATTTAAGTAACACCTTCCATGAGCTCTCGACACAAGTTAGAATAATATTTCTGAAATTCTAACCTAATGTGTAAACTATTCCCTGTTCTTTGGCTTCCTTTGGATTTAAGATAAAAATCCTCAGCATGGACTAGAAGGTAACAGATAATGTAACACCAGTTCTAACTTATTTTTTCAGTCTTATCTCATACATGCTTCCCTTTGGCCTGATCTTGGTGGGCAGCTTGTGGTTTGCATGCGGTAAACACCTCTTTGTTTATGTTGGTCATTATTTGTGAACCACTCCCTGCTTCCTCCTCACAGACCTACTCCACATTCATCTCCCAGCAAAATCATCACTTCCTCAGAAAAATGTTCCTTCCTTTTCTTTCCTTGACACTCTATATCATCCAGTCCTCATTTTTTTTTAAAAAAAGAATCCCCAAAACAAAAAACAAACTAATATACTCTTACTAACATCTCTTTCTTTGTTATTATTGTGAACTCCCTAAGGTCTAGAGCACAGGGTGTCTTTGTCTTCATTTTTTCACACAGTACCATCAGTACATAGTACAATGCCTGGCACATGGCATGTCTAATAAGTGTATTTAAAGGGTAACTAAGCATTCCATCACTCACGCTACAATTTTGACCTCAGCTGAGTTTTCTTTTATTAAGACGGCACCTTCCTTTAAATCAGACTTGCATTTAATTGGCTTTGTAAACCTGCTTCCTCAGATATAGGTAAGTGGGTAAAGCAAATCAAATTACTTTAGTTAAATGCTAGTTACTAATTTTAGGGGATAAAAGAGACCTGGTGGTACAATAGTTAAGCTGGAAACTGCTGACTGAAGGATTGGCTACTGAAAACCAGCCAGCAACTCAAGACCTGGTGACTTGTTGTCATAAAGATAACAGCTCAGTAAAACTCCTGGAGCAGTTCTAGTCTGTTGAACAAAATAGATTTTATGGCACTTAATAACAGCAAAGTTTATAAAAAGTAATTGTTTTGCTCAAAAATGGGATTTTAAAAATGAGTTGATACGATGCAAATTTCAGGCTAAAATGGTATTAAGTGGTTTAGAAATGTTAGACATTCTCGGACTTAAAAGAGAATAATAACATATGTTTTGGTCTTTAAAGTTTTACGGATAATCAAATTCTGAAGAAGAGATTTCTAAAGAAAGGTACATATGGATTCTGAAGATTCGTTTCCTCAGTCAAAATCTATCACTTAGCAATATATCTCAAATGAGAGCATTTCTTACTATAAACAATTTATTTTAAGGAAGTGTTCCTTGAAGCTTAAGAATCATGTTTAGAAACAGAAAGGAATATATCCGTTGTACATGGGAAGTAAATAACCTAGTTGAACTCATCATTTACAAAAGATAAAATGGGAAAAAATATAAGTTAATCTGAAAGAAGAGTTTTGGAGACGTTAATAGAATATAATGTCATGAAGATTTGCTAAAGGAAATTAGTGAGTGGTAGAGCATACCTTTGAAATTTGTTTTAAAAAAGACATACCTGCCCTTCTTCAATACTTAATAGAAAGGCCATGGAAGTTTGTGTTTAATAGACTCTAAATAATACACCTTATGAAGCAATCTATCAAATACCTACTAATATCGTTAAGAAGGAAAATGAAAATTTTCTGAACAAACCCAGCAGGAAGGTAGTCAGCTAATAATGTGGTAAAACACTGAAGTGAGGGGATTGAGTTTTCAAGTATTGAAAACAGTCACCATGGAAAGCAATAGAAGATGTTCTTCATGGGAAAGATGTCCCCATTTGATCTCCCCACACAACGTCACTTACGTCACTCTGCAGGTCATATGCTTTCCTGGCTTGGATCACATCATTCTGGTCTGGAAAGCAAGACCACTGGTGGAGGTACTGGCGGTAGTCCACGTTGCTTGCTAGCGCCTGGCCTTCTTTGGCAGCATTGATGGATACCATGTCCACGGGAATGGAGATCTTAGCTTTATGGTCATTGTAGGCCTTTTTGTAGAGCCTGTCATTCTGCATTTTTAACACATTTGCTGCCCAAGCCAGCTTAGGATCTTCCTTGGCATTGCGGCATCCAATATAATGGCCTTTCTGTTTCTCATAAGCAGTTTTATACAGGTACTAGTATATGTGAACAAAAGAAAGAAAAGGAGTTTTTCCCCAACTTAGTTTTTCTAGAGATCATGCTCAGAAAAATTTCATCTGGTGGTAGTGATACTATTTTTCTTTAATCCATAAACTAAATTGTACACTTATTCATACAGCACATAATACTTTTGTCTATTTGCACAAAAACAGGTGATAATCTTTAAAGCAAGCTCTGTGCTTTAGGAAAATTCTCCTAATTAACTTTTGTCCAGTATTTCTCAAACATCACATATCTTTTAACACCCTTCCATGCTTTAGCATAAACAAGAACCATAAACTGTTTCATAATTTATTTTAAATCAACTTGATTCTTTGCTTCAATAAATTTGTTTTAAAGACTTCTTTTACAATTTAGCACACTACTTAAATAGAAAACTAAGAACATTTTTCTAGCATTTATTGAAAAGAAAGAACTATCTTTTTTTAAAAACCACAACTAATAAAAACAAAACCACCCATCAACAAATGAACGGATAGAGAAGCTTTTGTACATTAACACAATGGAATATTATGCAGCACTGAAAAACAAAGAACTCACAAAATATTATACAAAATGGGTGACCATGGAGGACATTATGCTGAGTGAAATATCTCTTTCACAAAAAGACAAATACTGCATATGCCACTGTTATAAAACAGGAAAGACATGGGGGTTGGATAAAAACTAAAAAAAGGGGATAATAATGTACACAGCATTGAAACAGATGAGTGAGAGAACTGTATAAAAGAAAGATATGATTTGGTATTCTTGGCATGACAAGAATCCAGAATAAGAGCTACATAGTAAAATGGAATATGGGTGGGGATTGAATAAACAATGAAAGAATTTTTTTTTTTCCAGAGAAAAAAGTAAACTGGGGGCGGGTAGGGAGAAAAATTTACAACAGTGAATGAATGGAAAGGAAAAAAAAACCAAAACCCAAACCCCATAACTTTGTCAATGTGCTGCATAAAATTACTACAGGAACCATCAGTGTGGTGTATGAATGCCAGACTTTGAGGAACAACAGAACTCCCTGTACCTACTTGATCCTACCATGTCTGCTTACTAACTAACTGGTAGTCTCAAGAGAATGAAATAAAAATAAAAATGTGTACTTAAATATAAGCTGAGAAGAATCAAGCACAGATAAAAGAAGGTCTTCAAAATGTTCAGTGAGCCTTGTTTGGATTTGACTTTTAGAAGAACATACCTCTGGAAACTCTAAATGATAAATGATGATAGTTATAGAAAGGATTCAGGCCTTTTGTTCATAGGGTCACTTGCTGTGAGTTGTGCTTGACTCAACGGCAATCATCAACAACAACTAATAACAATTATGTACATTTCCATTCCTGAGTAATTAAATTAGAAATTAACACATTATTAACCACTCTCTGATTCCTCCTTAGTGTTCACTAAGGATGGAGAAGGAGGAGCTCTTACATCACTGGCAATGTCCCTGGAAGCCCTGGCATGCTTGATTCCAATGGCATCTGCTCTCAGGTCATAGCCAGTCATCTTGACATCTTCCCAGGCTTGCTGATAATGTTTCTGCAAATAAAGGTAGTAATGCCACAATCAATCTGAAGAAGGAGCGACTGAGTATGGAGTACTGACGTATTCAAGGACCAACATTAACAGAAACACTCAAAATTAAATTCTCCTATGATTTAGAAAAACAAGTTGACCTTGAATTCCTATAAATTATTAATGACAGTAAAAGAAAAGTTATCTTGCAATAATTCTCTTTTCATCTCTTTTTTTGGTAGTGTTTTGGCTTGTTTTTAAAAAAAAAATTTTAAAAAGAATTCTTTTTTTAAAAGATGGATATTTAAGAGACAATAGAACATGTGAAAAATGTGTGTGTGTGTGTGTGTGTGTGTGTGTAAAAGGAAAAATAATGAAGGGCTAGTAAAAAGGAGAACTAAATATTACCACATATGTTTTTGTGTTGTATTTGTGGTGAAATTACCGTACTTTTCCTTTCAACAAAGAGACTAATCTTTATATTGTAAAATCACTAGAGACACATGCACAGCAATTTAATATATTAATGTAAAGGTTAGAAATCAAATGGTAGGGAAACACATTCGGCCAAACTTTCAAAGTTTCAGTTATCTAGTGTTTTGCAAAGCAGACGAAGACTTCGTGTCTTACATTGCTGATCTGCAGTGCATTGAGCTTGGACTGCAGCATCACTGGAGTGTCAGCTGGCACGTTCACGTTCGCCTTCTCTTTATCCCAAGCATCTCGATACAAGGGCTGGTTGAAATTAAAAGAGAGAGAGAGAGAGAGAGAAAGAGAGAGAGAGAGAGGTATGGTTGATTTATAAATCATTCAATTACAAATATAATAAAATTATAGGTAAAATGAAAGTGCTCTTTGAATATCAGTATAGATCACTTCTTGCCTTATATTTAAAAGATGTCAATTGTGATTTCAACAATAAAAATATGTTGATGTGTGATATAGTATACATTTAAAATGTGTCAGAAATATGGTAGTAAAATATTTCTATTCCATTCAGTCACATTTAATCATCCTCTGGTAAGTCCATGTTGCAGCAGTCACAGGCAACTGTATCTAAACTACTAATTAAGATCTGAGGGACCTCTAGTGGCCTAGTGGATA